CTCTCTTTCTATTTTTCTCTCCCCTTCTCTGTCCTATCTTTCTTCTCTTTGTCTCTGTCTCTCTCTCTCTCCTTCTGTTTCCACCTCTCCCTTGTTCTCTTTTTGTCTTTTCCCCATCATTGTCTCCCTCTCTCTTTCTCTTTTCTTCTTCTTCTTTTTTTTTTTTTTTTGTCTTTTTTTGTGTCCGGCAACGGATCGCAACCCTCAGTGTCGCCCCCGTACCAGACCGGGACCGGCAACGGGATCGCAACCCTCGGTGTTGCTCCCACACCTCGCTCAGCCAGTGAGCGGGAACCGGTCTGTATGTGGGATCCGAACCCTCAGGCGGGAGCGCCGCGCTTCCCAAGCGGCACACTATCCAGTGCGCCACCGGGCCGGCCCTCTCTTTTCTTCTTATCTCTTTCTGCCTTTCTGTTTTCTCTTTCATTCCTTTTTGGTATCTCTCTCTCCCTCCCCCCCCCCTCTTTTTTTCCTGTGCCCTTTTTGGTTTCTCTCATTTCCTTTTTCTCTGTTTCTCATTTTTCTCTTCTCTGCCTCTTTCATTCTCTGCCATCTGGTTCTTTCTGTGTCTCACCCTCAATCCTGAAGTTGCAGCAACTCTGGGACAAAGGGCCCCTCATATTGCCTTGGGGTAGGTTGGCCCTGCCCTCTGAGGACATCAGCTGAGCCCACTTGAGCAGGATTGGTGAAGAGCATGTCTAGGCTGCAGAACACTGCTGTCTGTGTCCTGGGCAGGCGGGATAGAGCCCAGGCTTAGAAGTGATGGCCCCATCTCCCTCCTGAGCCTGGTCCGGATTAGCCACTGTCTGGGTATTTCTTCCCATTGCCCAAACCACTCAGTCCACTGGGGTGGAAAGAAAGAGTTGTTGGGCATCTCGACCAGTGCTGAGTCAAGAGGTCTTTGCCAAGTTCCTAGGGGGTAACATCCTCTGGGCTGGCAATGCCAGAGGAGAATGCTCAGGGTTTGGTGCTTTCATGCCTGCCCCTTCCAGGCAGCCTGCTCTGATTGCACAAGGCAGACGTGTGACCCCTCCAGCCAGCTATGCCCCTGCTTCCCAGCACCATGGGTCTGGCAGGCCTGCTCTTCTGGGCAGGTCAGACAGTGAATGCTTTGATGGTGCCCAATGGTACTCTGGCCCTGGCCCACCCTGAGGGCACAGCTGTGAGGCCCCCAAGTGGCCTGGGGGTGCCCCGGTACCATCGGAAGCGCCACATCTCTGCCCAGGACATGAGTGCCTTACTGGATTATCACAACCACATCCGGGCCAGCGTGTACCCACCTGCTGCCAACATGGAATACATGGTGAGTCTCCATGCCCTCCCCAGTACCCCTTCCAGCCAACTCACCTTGGCCTGGAATGACTGGCTTTGAAGAACTGGACCATTTGCCAGCCTGGTCCTGCTAGCCGGTATCTGGGTGTCCAGGATCTGTGGGAAGGGCAGGAATTAGTCTGCCCACTTTACAGATGAGGAGACTAAGGTGATTGCACAGCTCCTCCAGTGAGCCATGGGACTGATGTTTACGGACCCCCTTTGTGTTCCAGACACTGCACATAACCCTGAACGCACTATTCTTCGTTTAAGGTGGATGTTATCATCTCCATTTTCCAAATAAAAGAAATTGAGACTCAGAAAATTAATTTGCCCAAGGCCACCGAGCCAGGATTTCAACCCAGGTCTGCTTGCTGCTAAGATTGTGGTCTTAAGCAACATGATACCCTGCCTGAGAATTCTGCCTCTTCACTGGGGACCTGCCAGGGGCAGGTGGGTGGCGCTTTCTATGCCATTGTCTTTTTGCCCTGGGAGTTGGTTGACATACCCAAACCATCTCCAGCAAGTCTGTGGAGGCAGGATTTGGAGCCCTAGGGACAGGTATCTGGGATCTCAGGCTGGGGAAAGCCAGCAGCTGACCAGCAGAGAAAACTGGGATATCTTCCTTCCAAGAGGCAGGGCTGGTGGCTCTCACCCCAGCCCCCAGAAGCCAGACTCCTGGCGTGGAGGAGGGAACCTTCCTCTTATCGAAGCTCCTCCTCCAGGACCATTGTCCCAAACCGAACTAGAGAGATAGGCTTCCAGCCCACCCATAGATTTCTTTAGGGCAAGAGATTGCCAGCCCACCACCTCTAAGACAAATATGTGCTAATCAACAGCCTGAATATTCTTAGACTTCTGCAACACATCCATTCACTTACACTCGGAGTACACTTGGAGCCAGGCACCATGCTAAGCCTTGTGGATACTGCTGAGAACAAGATGGAAGAGGCCCCTCCTTTCATGGAGCTTACATTTTAGTGGGGATGAGAGAAAATGCACATCAACAACAAGACACATATAATTACAATGTCAGGAAGGAGTAAGGTGCTGGGGAGGAGCTGCGGTGGCAGATAGCTAGCGGTAGGGGGCATCGTTTATTTGTTTCTTGATTGACTCACTCATGTATTAACACAGGATTGGCACATAGAATGCCCTCCACTTTTCAAGCAAATGGCACATTTATTGAGCACCAGTTGTGTGTGCAAGGCACTCACCCCAACAGGTGTTTAATGATTGCATGCAGTATGGAGCAGAGAGAGTGGGATGTCTTACCAGGAGCTCTGGGAGGGGCCAGGGGTTTGGGTTTGATGGTTAGCATGCTTCTTCCCTGAGTTTACCCCTTTGTAGCATGAGGGAACTCCTCTGCTCTTGCTGAAAGGTTATGAGTCAGACAACACCGCAGAGACGTATAGATCCCTCTTTTGGTACCCTAATTTCTTCTTCACTAGCTGACTTCTGCCTGCAGACAGGTACCTGACTAAGAATCCCTCGCTCCAGGAGCCCCTTCTCCCATGGCCCCATTCCACATTGTCACACCCACGAGGATTGTAATGATTAATGACTCATTGAATGTCTCATTTTCTTGCTAGACTGTCCTAGAGTCCTCGGTGCCTAGAAATAATATTGTTCAGTGTGTGCTGAATGAGCAAATGATCTCTCAGAGAATGCAGGAAGTCAGAGAGGGAAGGGAACTAGTATTTTATTAAGTAACACTTTTTCCACTTATAAAAATTGGGTAATTCACACTTTGGAAAATGATAAAGCTGTTAAGAAGGATGAGGAGGGTATTCTCCATGTACTGATGAGGAATAATCACTAAGATAAACTATCCTGTTAAGTGAAAAGAGCAAAGTACAGAACAGAATGCTGCCATTTGTAAAATATATATATATATATATATATATGTATCTATATGTCTCAGATATCTATATATCTGCTTGTATAGATATAGAGTATTTCTGGAAGAAGACACAAGAAACATGGTTATCACCTCTGGGGGCAGGTATAGAGTGGCTCGGGGAATAGGTGTAGGAGAGAGATGACAGAATTTCCACCTTTCCTCCTTTGGATATTTTATATATTAAATTTGTGCATGTTTTCACTATTCCCAAAAAAAAGCTTTTGAATTAAAATTTTTTAATATTAAAATAAACACATTTAGAAATTACAATAAATACAATTTGAAAGTCAGTTATTTTCCCATCACCCTGGGCTCAGTCACTTCTAGGGACTGCTGAGAACTCCTGGACAAACATCTGGGACCCATTCAGAATCAAGGGCTTCAGAGTCAGAGCCCTGCATGTGGATCTCAGCTCTGATGTGGAGTCGAGGTTGACCTTGAAGTCATAACCTTCTCTGAGCCTCAGTTTTCCAATTTGTTAAGTGAGTTTTTTGCAGGGTTCCAAGAAGATGGGGGAAGAATGGCACCAGGTAAAAGTGCATCTCTGCATACTCCTGTGATGGTGGTGGTTATCCCTCTGGGGAATTTCATGGTCTGTCTTTCCCCAGGTCTGGGACGAGCGACTGGCCAGGTCTGCCGAGGCCTGGGCCACCCAGTGCATCTGGGCCCATGGGCCCTCCCAGCTGATGAGATACGTGGGCCAGAACCTCTCCATCCATTCTGGCCGGTGAGTGAGCCTCTGAGCTTCCTTATTTAGTCATTCGACAAACACGCCTTGAGCGCTTACTTGTACCATGTGCTGTGCTCAGTGCTGGGGTACAGTGGTGAGCCAGGCAGATAAGCTCCCTACCTGTGGGAGCTAATGTTCTCATTAGGAGACAGGTAATGACTGGGTGAACAAAAAAGGACAGATTGTTTTGGAGACTGAGGAGTGATCTGAAGGTTCGTAAGACAGGACAAGGGGAGGAGAGTCACAGGAGCAGAGTTGGGAACTGGGAGTTGGGTGCATCAGGCCCAAGGGTGCCCCACCCAAGCCTGAGAACAGCAAACCTACCTTCCTGGCCTGGATTTCTTACTACCACTCCGACTCTCGAGTCAGAATCTGGAGACCTGAGTTCTGATCTGTGTGGCCTTGGGAAGTAATTTCCACTTTCCAAACCTTGGTGTCCCTGTCTGTAAAACAAAGATGTTGACCTAGCTCAGTTCTTTCCAGACTTGAGGATTTCATAGGCCAGTTGAATTTCAAAAAGACATTTACAAGACTGACACATGATTGTCATATTTTTATTTTGCCAAATAAGGACATTAGAAAGATGGTTAACTTCCCCTCCCCACCATTCTACCACCCCGCAGAAGAACAGGAAAGCCAGAATCAAGGCCAGTCCTTTCCATGGAGCTCAGTGGAAACGCAAGGCTCTGGCAGCATTTTTTCTTGTCATTGACTGGTCAGGGCCAGCGCTGGCATTTGGGAACCGTGAATGGTCCCTCAGAATCCTCCAGAGCAGACATCAGGTGATTCAGTCTTTCCTCAAGTTCACATCCTCTCTCTCCTGTCATTAAACTCTTCCTGCCAGACTCCACCCCTACCCCAAAGGTAAAACAAAATGGTGTAGGGATAAAGATGTGCTGTTGTAAATTATGAGTGTGAATTCTTCCAGATTTTTCCCTCATATTGGCCCTTTTGTGTATTTGTGCCTCTGTCAAACGTGCATGATAGGAAAAGCCCCCCGGCCCCAACCAGGTGGCTTTTCAGGCTGCAGCATTTCTCAGAGTGACACACCACGTGTCTGCCTTCCCTGCATCTCACATCTCAGAGGCCTACGAGATGGTCCAATGAGCCTTTTCTTCCCTAAAAATAGAAGCTGCCTTGTCTGAGATGCCTACCTCATGCCCAGCCCCTCACGCGACAATGACAAGTGTGCTTTATTGAGCACTTACTACCTGCCAGGTGCAGGTAAACACTTCCTGTGCACCATCTCAATTCAGAACATACCTGGGAGTTTGGCACTGCTGCTCACATTCTCGTTATAGATGAGGAACCTGAGGGAAGGCAGGTGAAGTGACTCACCCAAGGTCACGAGGCACGTTGGTGGCAGAGTCACTTCTCCAGCCTCCCACCCAGCTTCTTCCATGTTCTCTGCCTCCCCAGGTACCGCTCAGTGATAGACCTTGTGAAGCCTTGGTCCGAGGAGAAGCAGCATTACTTGTTTCCGGTCCCGAGGGACTGTAACCCGCAGTGCCCCTGGCGCTGCAGTGGCCCTGTCTGCTCCCACTATACCCAGGTAACTCTGTCGAGGCTGAGGGCCGATGGGAGAACAAATCCTGGTACCTTAGAATAAAAATAGCGTGGTGGCAGAAATAAGAATTAAAACAGAGGCCCCTGTGGGCTTCTTCTTACATAAGAAGTATGTTCTTGGAAAGTTGGGTATACACTGAATTGAGATGAATCTTGTTTTGCTGGGTGTCTTAGGTATTTTCTGATTATTAGGCTCCCACTATCTTAAAAAAAAAAAGAAATGCCAAAATAAGATTACAAAAACAGTAGTATAGTTTGAGAGCTAATATAGAATGTTAACCATTGTTACACATAAAAATACCACACAATATACCATTGTAATAGGACGAGCATTTCCATTTGTATGACAGATGTCATCTTTCAGCCCTGTCCATCTCTCTATGACTCATTTGGAGGTAATGTCAAAAATCTAAATTTGAGATCCTCTAGCAAATGTGTCACCTAAACCAAATGTCCTTCCTGACTTCCCATGAGACATTATTACCTCCGTTTTACTAAAGAAGAAACTGAGACACAGAGAGGTCAAGTGATTTGGTCAAAGTCACATGGCTGGTGGTATTGAGACTCTCCAGCCTCCTACCTTGCGACAGGCAGACTGCCTCCCCAGGAAGACCTCACCACTGCACCCACCCTGAACCAAGCACAAGGGCCATGCAGTCCCAAGGAACATGGGCGCAGCTGAGTTCCTCTCATAGCCTGCCCTGTCTCTGTCTTTCCTCAGATGGTGTGGGCATCTTCCAATCGGCTGGGCTGTGCCATCCACACCTGTAGCAGCATCAAGGTCTGGGGCAGCACCTGGCATCAGGCAGTATACCTGGTCTGCAACTATGCCATTAAGTAAGTGCCAGCACCGAAGCAAAAGAGGCTCTGTGGCAGAAGGGTGGATCCCAAGAATGCAAAGAAAAGAAAGACATGCAACATCCCTCTTTCCTCCATCTTAAGTACCCTCAATACCGTACAATTTTGGTAGTTTTACAGGATCAATTGGTAATGTTTTTTCTTTGACCAAGTTTCAGAATTGATTGGGAGATAGGCAGAGGACCAAGGTAGATGGAAAGGCAGCATCAACAAAGAAATCAATAGTGGAAAATGTGGCTTAGATCTACCAATATGCCAGCCAAGTGGGCTTGCAAATATCTCACTATTGAATTAGAACTGCACACCCAGTGACAGGCAGCACCAGACAAGCACAGGCCTCTTCTTACAAGTGCAGAGCCAGTCCCTCTGAGCTCACCACAACAAACAGACAACCAAGAACACATGCTCCCTGCAGGCAGGCGGATCCCAAAGGAAACAAAGGAAGAACAGAATGAGCATCTCAGCTCCTTCTCCCAGACTCTCCAGTCAGCTTGGTGGGGGAGAGGTTAGGAGCTGTCTTCATACACATCTCTAGAAACATGGAGAAAGGGGAATGGAAGTTCCCAGCCAATACACAGCATACAAACTTGCAAACACTACAGGTTCCCATACAAAAACAAGAACAAATTCTAACTAAACATGATATTTAAAATTTCAAAACTACATAATAATAACCACATTTTACTCTTACACAGCTCCTGATCATTTGCAAAATACTTTCTTTCATCTTATTATCTCATTGAAGAGATGAAAGAAAGAAGGAATAAAAAGGGAGGGACACTGGGAAAATATTACCCCTTTTTACAGATTGAGAAATTGGGGCTCAGAAAGGTTAAGGAATTTACCAGAGGTCACAAAGCCAATAAGTAGCAGAGCTGTGTGAAACACTAGTCTCTTGATTCCAAGTCCCATGTTCTTTCTATTATACAAGGAGGTGTTTCAAAAGTTCATGGATGGATTAGCATGAACTTTCGATTCTATTTTTCCATAAACTTTTTGAAGTATTCTTGTAATATGCTGATTTTCTTGAAGTCGTTGGTAGCCTGACCACAAATTCTCCAGCTAGGACACTTGTTATTGTTAGATGGTGGCATACTGACAACGTACATACTGCAACTCAGCTTTACCACACAGGGAAAATGCAAGAAACCAAACTCCATTACAAATAGTTCAAGGAACTGTTCTCATTCATTTGTTGACAGCACATTTTTGAAGCATTGAGTATTAACAGTATAGTTGTTAAGATTTTTAGGCTCTGGAATCAAGACTGCTAGGGTTCAAATTTGTGATTTCACTTAACTTTTCCATGCGTGTTTCCTCATCTGCAAATGGGAATAAAATAGTACCTACTCATGAAATTGTTGAGGAAATTCAGTGAGATAGACCAGGTCACGTCCCTGGGCTCATAGTAAGTGAGGAATACATATTGGTTCTTATTATTGCTATCAGGCCTAGGTTTGATTCCCAGCTTGGAATAAGTCATTTTATTTCTATAGGCTTCGGTCCCCTTTTTTAGGGTTAATACTTCCTGCCTCACAGAATTGAAGGATTAAAATATTAGTGTAGCCTAAGTGGTGTCTTGCCTATAGTACAAGGGGGTCTTTTAAAAGTTCATGGAAAGATTCATATTATTTCTTAATTCCATTTTTCCATGAACTTTTTGAACTACCCTTATACAACTAGGTTATAAACTCTCGAGGGTGGGAAATAGACCTTATTTCTTTCTTT